TTTGGTATAAAAAATGAAAATTGATTTGTGATTAAAACAAAAATCCCACTGTTTTCGCCTTTTCATGTCTATTCATGTCTTTTTATTTCTTAAAAACAGGACTTTTTAAAGTCCCAATGTCTTCTACAGAGGACATGGCATAACATATGAATAAAATATCATTTTTCAACTACATGTAAATGTAATATGCACCTAATTATCCACCTTATTTTTAACTTAAATGTGCGCAACTTCCGGTGTCACTGGCTTCCAGTTATTTTATTTGTACAAAACATTCCGTTATGCTGCTTGATACTGCAAACTGGAATTTATTATCATGTTTTTAATGTATTATCCTAATTATAAGCACACTGGTTTGTAGTGCAAATAGTTTGACCGTTTACTGCACTTTGTTATTCCTCTAGTTCTAGTGCAGCTAATGAATCGGAAGTCTCGCACATTCACAGAAAATTGCTTAAAGGCAGAGTAAGTGATTTCTGGTAGCCAATGTTGATATTTGAAATCACCAAAACAAACACGCCCCTACCCCAAAAGGGTCTTGCCCCTATTTTGATAGCTCCGCCCCACATATACGTACGCAACCCAGGCAACGATTAGTTCTGTGAAACAAAGCAAAACCAATATTACACCGTGTCTACGGACGTGAGCGGCGCGGCGCAGCAAATCCCCGACAGAAAACTGCTGCGGGGTTCTATTTATGACGTGCTGACAATGTTGTTTGATCGCGTCCAGTGTAGGCAGAGCTGTTGTAGACACGGTGTTACTCACCTATTGAGAAGAAACAAAGCAACCTCGGCGTCCGATCGCAGGCCTCCGCTCCTTGAGTTCTCTCCAGCGCTGGAAAGCTGATCCGATATTTACACGGGTCCTACTTCTTGCCTTATCGTTCCGCAGACGTTTTCCTCTTTTGTTTTTTATCCGCCATCTCTATCTTTCTGTCGCTCGGCTCGGCTAATGTCCGTCCCATGCACTGAACGCGCTCTCCTCCACATCACGAGTAGACACGCCCCTTATTGCTGATTGGCTACAAGTTTGTTTTGCGATTCGGCCCGAATCAGTTTTCTAAAGTGTTTTTGAAAAATCACATACCCTGCCTTTAATTCCCGTGTTATATAATAAGGTGGATCTGTGTGTCTTGGCATGATGTTGGTACTTTGCACTGTATTGTTTTGTAAACTGGGTCAAGCTCATAAAGGGTGTGTTTCATTGCACCTGCATTCAAAGTGAAGGCCTCAACATTTGTCCCGCAGAAGCGACTGCGCGTGCGTCTCTCCAGTAGATTCTCCACAGCAGACGAGGCAGAACCAGCGGGCCGAACATGGAGACAGTACCGCAGTGACCCAGAAGAGGACGCCAGTCACCCACCAGAGACGGATGCGGTCGACCTAACGGTGAGGAGATCATGCACGAACAGAGAGTACCTGCGGTGAAAGATGCTTGTGTTATTTGTTTTTCACTCTCTGCTCGTCTGCAGGCGGCTGTGAGGCTCGGACAGCTGACGTCACGGCGGAAAGCCCCGCCCACACGCGTCACTCAGGACGCCGTCAGTGACGTCACACTCATAGGAGACTTCAGTAAGGTTGGTTCTGCAAAACCAAAATGAAACAATATGACATATTTGAAAGTGAAACATGGTATTCCTCAAGACAAACATGAGGTTTATCAATGGGGAAATTATCTAAGCATGAAAAGGGTTCTAATGTGCAAATCAGCATATTAGAATGATTTCTGAAGATCATGTGACACTGAAGACTGGAGTAATGATGCTGGAAATTCAGCTGCGCATCACAGGAATAAATTATATTTTACAATATATTCACATAGAAATACGTTCTTTTAAATTGTAATAATATTTCACAATATTACTGT